CTTATAAAAATACTAATTTGTGTGATTAAGTGATTTAGTGATTTACCTAATTGCATACCTATAAATGTCTATAGAACCTATTACTTATTTGATTTATGTATATAAAAATTATATTAATTAATTTGTATAAGCTTCATTATGTTATTATATTTGTAGGTACATAGGTAGGTACCTCATTTCTCCCTTGTTTTACCTACATAATTCATATTAATTACTTATTTACGAGGTTATGATATTTAAATATTTAATAATACGAATTATACAATATAATATGTATTACATACGCAATACATTTAACATTTTAACATTTAAACATATTATATCAACAGAATGTTTAAAATACAAAGACTTCAGGAAAGAAAATGAGTTACCTGAGCAATTATTCAAAATCTTGAGACTCGGTGAATAGGCGAACACCAACATTTTAAATTGTTTGAAAATGTCAGAAATATATAATTTAATATTAATTTTTAGCAAAATATCAAAAAAATAAAAATAAAATAAAACTGCAGCTTAATAACCATAGCCGTTGAAGCATTTTGTTCAAGAAAAAAAAAAGAATATGTATACAACAAAAAAGTATTTATTAAATGTATAAGTATTACGTGAATGTTTTTGTTTTAAAATATATTCAACTAATAATATTTTAAACCTATAGTATTAAAGTTATTACTTTAATTTTAAGTCATTTCCAACATTATCAATAACTGCACATGTATTCATAGTAGGGGGTTATCAAAGGACAAAAACTGAAATTTATATTTTTACGGAAAATATTAATATATATTACTGCACTGGCGGAAAACAGGGAGATTGATTGTGGCTTAAAAGTAGATCAACCTATATATATATATATTTTACTTTCAGATGGATTAATATAGTTTCCGTCGAACATCATCTATCTTACAACAATAGCATTTAACAATGATATGAAAATGGTGAATATTTTGGCACATGCGCATTGCGTTAATTCAAGTAATGTCTATAGGTGGAACTATACAATAGGTGACTAGGTGAGTATATCTTTTTATTGAAATATTTTATACTTTTAACTGATAATATTCGACATATTCTGTCTTATACCCTGTTGAAAATGTAAAATAGTTTGTTGAACGATTTACGTAACTTATCAATATTTTGGCGAAAAAATCAAAAAACCACCCATTCGTGTTCAATATTTCGCATAGTTTCCACAACTTTTTTAACGTTTTTACGACTCACAATTGTAATGTTTTCCGTAAAAACAAAACAAAAAAAATCACGTCAACCCTGTTAAACACACAACTCCTTCGCTTCGCTCCTTGGAATCTATAGTGATATATATAACAAAAACTATAAACAGTTATACATTTATAATATAGTTTGAACTTCAAACACTTGACGTAGGTACAAGTACAATATTGAATATTATACTCCAGTCATTCAAGGTGAAACATAGCTATCGAAGTTCAAAGGACTTTATAAAATAGGTACTATGAATTTGTAGCAATTATTATTCATTTCTGTGACATATATAAAATAATTTTGCGATCGTACAACGTCATCGTTAAATTTATACTCAGAGATAAGAGATGGGACTGTGAACTGCATTGTCGTTTAAATACAGCGCTTTGAGATGTTCGGTAGGGAACGACGATACTTTGAATTACATATTGATTTATTTATGCCCATATTGGATATGTTACATTATTTTTATGCAATTCTAGGATTCACGGTTTTATCTCCCATTCGATTATTATTAAACAAAATAAGAAATCACTGACCGATTTAAATATAAAAAAAAATAACAGCTGATACTTCGACCATTCGTAAATATTAGATATAGGTATACACTGATCGATTCTAAACTAATAAATAAGGTCGGTATATTAATTGCTTATAAAAAAAGAATTATACTTTGTAATAAGTATAATTATTAATTATTATTGGAGTAGATTATATGAAGATTTTAAATCAATTGTAGTTGAGTAATTGCAACCTAATCTGCACGTTATAAATATCGACAGTTATTGATCATTGACAATAATTATTGAATTAAAATGTTATACCGTGTGACGTAAAGGTATATAACAAAATATGGACAGGCCCAAATTATAAAACCAACAAAGAAGAAAAATGGATGGATGTTATAGGAAATGAAAATCTGTTAAGAATATTAGGTATGTACTAGCTGACTGTCCCCTCCGGCCTTGTCCGCAAAAAAATTGTGATTGAATAAATATTTATTTTTGAGTGTAAACCATATTATATTTTAATTTATAACTGACCCGCCCGCCGTTGCCCGTCAGACTAGCTTGTGATTATGCGAATAGTATATTATTAGATAGGCAGTCTACCTGAGGAAGATTACAGACCCCTCGAGCAAAGGCGAAAATCAGGTGGGCTCAGTCCCCCAAAAGTCCAACAGTTATTGTGAAGAGGCAAAGCCCCCCACAATTTAGGTTCTTTCAAAAAATAGTAGCCCCCAATATTTTCAATTGATTTCCGTCTAGGTGTGTATGTACCGTAAGTGTATTATTTAACTCTAAAGTATTAACTTTTGTTGGATTTCAATTAAAAAAATACAATACCTGCACCCAAAATTGAAATTTTCACAAATAACTTTTATTCATAGCAAAATTAACGTTTTTCGGACTTTAAAATATTTTTTTTAAAAATAATTATTTTTTGTAACTTTTAGTTTAGATGTTGCTGCAGGTGGGATCATGAAAGGGTTAAATAGTTATATATAGTTGTATTTAATTTATATATACTATATTATCCAATATCCTCTAACTTTTAGCAGACAACTTTCGAACAATTATAGTTAGTAATACAATTTTTACCAAGTTATGTCTAATAAATAATAATTGCAATTGAATACAAAACAACCATATTATTATTTTGTTAATTTTTTTGCTAGATAGGTGGTGCACTGGTACCACTGTCATTTCAACGCCACCGCTTACAGAAACTTTATCGGACTTAATTTATGCCTAAAAACCTTCTCCGCTATGTACTTTTTAATTAAAAAAAAGATAAATGAAATAAGTAAAAGCGTTCTCAAGTGATGCCGTGAAAAAAGGAATAGGATCCATTTTATAAATACCTATTACTTATTAGATAGATAGATATGTTATTAGTATGATTTAAATTTCAAGTCAATATAACGATATGACAACGTCAACTGATTTTAAGTTTTTGCGAAATTCAAATGATGTGTGAAGGATCGTCATCGGCGTTTTAAATAATCAAGTTATGGTACTAATGATTACAATACCGAATACAATACAAGAATTATCACAGATTATATTTTAAAAATGTATAGTTAGGTAGATCTTATTATACGAATATGAAAATGTTTAGAACCACTACAGTTATTACACTCCTTACTCCTTAGGATTGATTTTAGTGAATTAAGTCTCCTTTAAATAGGTACCGATATTAGTCTTAATATGTAGGTATAACTTTATAAATCTAAACAAGTAACAACTCCGTACGAAGGAAATTGTATTCCTAAATATATTATATTTCTTTTAATCTCCGTAATCTGCTGATTATCAATACCTATCAATAGTTATCAAAATTATTATTTTTGATGTTATTAATTTATTATAATCTGTGTTTATCTCATAGTGTCTTTGTCCATAAATATTAATAAATAAGAAGTACATTTGTAGTGAAATAGTCATAATATTATTTTTTTGTTTTCTTTGTTTTCTTTTTAATTATTTGAAATTTATTGTTATGTTAACTACCGCCATGTTAACTATAAGATACTTAGTATAACACGAACTCTTGCATAAGATTTTTAGTATTGTATTATTGTAATTAATTTGTATTGTTATGAAATGATAATAAATGTGAATCTAACATAGGACATTTTGTAATTTTTACTTGTTTAATGTTTTATGAAGTGTATTTATATTTTGTTGTCATCTTATATATTTGACTATCGTCTATCATGGATAACCCAAATTACAGACCATACTCAGGAAAATTTAAAAGTATATTATATACTTTTTGTAAGACTTGTTAAATTAGGAAACAATCAGTGTTGAGTTCAGATAAGTAGTTTTTTCATCTAGGTAAAGATAAAGATAAAAATAAACTGTTCTGAAATTGACTATTTAATAAATAAAGGGTAATCATAATTTATCTAGTAAAAAGCAGATAAATATTTAAAAAAATTATTTTAAATTAAAATTGTATTATATTTAAAAAAAACGTATCAAGCTTATTATCGTGTAAACAACAATTTGTATTTTTTAAGGCATTTGAAATATGTCTCGATTTTCAAGTGTTACTTCTATAATTTACTTTTTGACATTTTATGTCTTATTTACTTTGCCACATTAAAATAAAAAACCGTAACGAAAAAGTTTCCACCAAAAAGTGCCCACGAAAAGCGTTACCTACTACATTGTTAAAGTGTGTTGTGTAGGAAACTAGGATACGTCATGTTTTTGCTTTGGCACGTAGAACCGAAATGCGCAACGTTACATAAAGCGTTTCGAAACCGCTACGAAAAGAATTGTCATGGGAACAAAAAATAAAAACGAATCGAGGACTGAAAATAAAAAATTTATACATATAGTATAAAATAATAATAAAATTAAAAAAAATTGTATACCAATAGTAGTCGTGTCTTTATTTTTTATCAATTACCCAATAAATATTATCTAGTTACGTGCTACATATGATAGCAATTACAGAAAAGACATAAATAGTGGTAGGTACTTTATTGCAGACTCGAATGAAATATGTTTTCTTTTTTTTAATGGAATTTACATTTTCCTAAGACCAAAGAAATCAAAATGCATACTATTCCATGGCTATAGCATGCAGACTGGATTGAACAGACATACAATTATGTTAAACCAGGCGGATAACAGAAATACCTGACAAATTAAATAACTTTTGGTTCTAATTAATTTTTTTTTTATTGAAAAAAACAAGTAGGTAAGTACTTTTATCTGCGGAAACGCTGCGAGCGTACCTGCGTACATACCGGCCGTCGTTGCTGGCTCCCGGATGGGTGACCATCAGGGATTTTTAGCAACGAAATTCTTGCCACACGCATGTATATGTGTTCCAACCAACCATTCGCCTCTAAAAAACAGCTAATGATCATAGTTGCCATTATTTAGTTCGATAAAAAATAATAATATAAGAATATTATATATGGTTAGTGGTTACGTATCACTAACCACTGGTATCCTTTGTACACGGCGTTTTGGGTAGGCTATTTGGGTACATCAATGACGAGAGTTCGTTTTCAAGTATCTAGCTGAATTTCATTTTTTCATAATATTTTCTAAAAATGCATTCTAATAATAAAATTATTATGATATATTTAACGACGATGACGACCAATTTTTAAGAACTGTGACTTACACAACTTTGTTGATTCAGCCACGTCTAAATAGTAAATACACATTAACAAAAAAAAGCCTATAATATTGTATGCATTGAACAGTTGTGTGTACTTCATTCCATGTGCGAAGAGTCTGGAATATTCTTCAAAACTAAATCTATTTAGGGTTGATCGATATGTACTAAATTGATAAAAAGATTAAACCATATTAGACACCTTATAGTTGTTGTGTTATATTCCCTTGACGAATCGATCTTCTAATTTATACGCACCCGTTTACTTTTCCTATTCCGATAAGAGCATTTGGACCGTAGGTATATTTGTTGACAACCAAAAGTATGTTGTAACTGAAGTTTTGACATCTATAAAAAAAAACAAAATATTATAATTGTATACGACTGAAATGCGTTTTACAAGACCGCAACGATGTATCGCATTCACAGTTGATACGGGTGACAGATGGTGTTTGAGGATAAATTTATAGTTTATCAACACTGATGGAAAACGTCACCGTTTATGCTTTTGTTGTTTTGTAATGCATTGTTAAAAATAATTAAATCCATAACTCGCCTTGAGCTTGATACAAGTATATTGACATTTAACATCAATTTCAGTAAGTTTGATAGTAAAATTAAGTATCGATGCAGTTATTTAGATTTATTTATTGGGGACTATGGTGTAGGTTATGATGATCGATGGAATTAGTTTCTGCAGTATTATATTTACTATAATATGCGTACCTACCAATTACATAATATATTACACTGATTAAATACCGTTAAAATCTTGATGATATTATATTGTATACCGCGACTGATTAGTGATTACTTAGTGTATTAGATCACCCAGCATTCCAATATTGATCAATGATCAGTATTCAGCACACTATCAGTATACTCGTGGCGGTTCAGTGCAGGATATCGTTTAAATTCGATATCTTCGGTCTTCGGATTTTTAAATTCTATTATTCTGTATGCGACTGCGAATCTACAAATAACATTATAAAAATTGATATTTTTAGTTTGAAAATTCACTTGTGATATAACTTATACAAACGATAATCGATAGGTATAAGTATTACCATGTATCAGACATGAATCTATATGATATTGCATAGGTACTATATAGTATTTATAATCAATTATATTACTACTATCGTATGTGCCGGTCGTTTAAAACGAACGCCAATATAAGCACATACAATTAAAATGTACCACTTTATTGCTGTTATAATATACTACAGTGAACACATCAAGCGTTCACTGCTGGAGAACCAAGTTTTGCTCATATTCCTATCTCTTATATATTATAGCTTAACCTAGTTTTGTGTAGTTTCTATATTTTGCTACATTTTGTTAAGGTTCACTAAAACGTATACTGGCTAAGAATTGATGCTAAATTTTCTTACATTTTACATAATTAATGTTTTATTGACCTAGTTAATAGTTTTAATCATAATGACGTGTATGTGTTGCAACTGGTAACAACATGTATTATGTACTCCGACTTAATGTACAAATTAATATGTATTATACATTATGCTTAATATAACATAATTTGTACCGTTTTGACAATACCGACACAATGTAATGATAAAATTATCAATTTTTAAATTTAAAATATCTCGAAAGTGATTAGACGTGACTATTATTTTCAAAAATTAATCGCAACTGAAATTTTTCACACATTACACGTCATCTTTAATAATATAAGACGGCGACATATTTTAAATGACCATCGATAATTTCCAGATGAAACTGTTTGAAAGTTTAGCAACAGCCAACAATGGGATTCAGATCACATAGGTACACTGTACACGTGTGAGACGTGAATATACAAACAAATTAGATAGGTTCTATAAGAATAAGATGTACCAAACATATCAATCACTACGAACTGACAATACCTTTTCTACGCATTTTCCCATTGGATATATTTGAATAAATCTAAAAAATATATCGAACACAAGAACAAATAGAGCATTTAGATTTTCGACTCATTCTTGGTACAACAGTTTAGAAAATTTAAATAACGTTACCATTACATTAAAAAATATTTGGTTATTGAAAAAAAGTACTTAAGATGCACCGAAAAATAAAAAGTCGATTTACCTTATTATAATCAGTAAATTACGAGAGACCATACATTACAATGAAAACCAAAGTGTCTATCACACAATATGTTATAATCATGCTCCGGTAAGTCGGCTATATATATATATATAAATACATTCTATCTTTTTGTTAATAATATGACAATTTATGTCGATAATGATATAATATGTGAATAATAATATGACTTGTGCGCGTCTTCCGAGTATAAATAATATGATTAATATTATATGGCCGACGTGCAGACTGTGGCGGCAATAATTATTAATTAATTTATAATTTTTTTATTTAAATTCTCTAAAACGAATTTCGAACGACTATCCTCGACAAACGCAATCGCAATCCCATTAATGCAATATTATGGGAATACGGTATTAATTATTATCTATTTTGCAGTAGCTTGTAACGAAATATTATGACGTGTGAGACAAGAACCGTGTCGTCGTTGGACTGCACATTTCCGCGGCTACCCTGTAAAAAAATTCACGGCAACGTCACAGCCGCCGAGTGTACGTACAGTGTAAATATCCGAAATATTATACACATAGGTACATAGAATAATGTATAGGTATGCAGACGGCGACGACACATACGTGGTTACAACCACCCCGCGGCCGCCGACCGTTGCATCAAGCCGGTACGTCGGGCGCAGTCGCTGACCACCGTCTCTGTTTTACCAAACCACACTACCACTCGGCCGCGGTATATAGGTACCTCGACCCTGAACCGCGGTGTGGTGCATGCTACGAAAGTACGCGTCGCTTACGTCGTACGATATGCGATTACGCCGAGTGCGTAAAATAACACAGACACGGCGGCGCCAGTATACACCGGGTGATCTTTATGTCGTAAGCCCTACGTCGTAAACTAGGCGCTAACTTTTTTTTCACATCATTAATTGCGGTGGTCGAAAAACAATATTTTTCTAATATTTTTCACTATTTTTTGCCATTATAAAATTTCAATGACGATATCATGCATTTTTAACGCCTCGTCCCAGAGTAGAATCATATCTTTTCCGATACCCCGCGAGTTTAAAAAACGAATTTTGGATTATAAGCGCTTACGATTCGTATGTATTTAAAGCTGCTTCGATAAGCCGAGTGTGGTGTTTGGGCGCAGAGGTGCCACACAAAAGGTAAGCGGTACACTACTCCTGCATACTTATCTTAGCTTTAAATACCCATGCTTAACTATAATAACATGATAATGACTAATGTTGTTCGCGATTTGATTTCTATAGTAGACCGAAAAACTCCGAACAATGTTCTGCTTCGGAATTATGTGAAATTAAACAGAACATTATGATATGCTGTCCATAAAATGAGTGAAAACCCGGTGAAAAAATACAATTTCATTCCGAAAACGTAGTCGTTTAGACTCGAAATTAGGATCATAATATCAAAGAAAAAAAAGAAACGTCGGTGTTTGCCGAACAACGACGAGCGCGTCTTGAGTTAAACGGATCACCCCGTCACCTACCCAGGTAGTGGTATGTACAATTACGGTGAAAAGGAGTACGCAGAGACCGTCGTCGCCACATCGCCGCCGGCGCCGGAGGTGGCGGGCCGGCACAACGTAACGGTTGTTGAGCCAGCTGCCGTGCCGCCGCCGACGACCGGCGGCGACAGAGCGGCGGTGGCGGCGGCGGGGGTGGAGCTTTTTGCCGCCGCCGCCGCTGCTGCTCCCCTCGGATTTCCAGTAAATTGGCCGCAGCCGTCCGCGTTCGCGCGCTCGCCGCCCCCCGTATCGCATTTGTTTCGCGCGCGTTCCGTCGCTCGCTCGTACGTTCGTCCTTATAATATTTCGAACTTGTTATTATATCGGTGCCGCGTCACGTTCACCACCCCCTCGCCAACCCCCGCCACGAACACCACCCCGCGGGCTCGCAGAATACTACAACTTACTACTACTACTACTACTACTACTACTACTACTACTACTACTTCCGCTACTACTACTACTACTACTACTGCTACGGCTATACTCGCACCGCTGTCGTCTCCTCGTCTCCGGGGTGAGTATTTATGTGTTCTATAGATATAACGTACGCAGCTGCTGTTGATTTTCGTGTGCACACTTAAAATATGAGCTTAAACGTAAACTCGATTTAAACTGCGGTTAAACCGTATCGGCACATTCACTATTAATCGGCATATATCAATATATTGGGTACCTAATAATATTCTAAGGATGATGATATTGTTGTATACATATATATATATATTATCGTGCTGCGACTAATTGAATAAAATGCCATTGGATTTACAACCAGCTGTCTTACGATGACTCTGTTGTATTTTTGACACTGTCGTTCGGGAGGTTTTCGCCGAATACAGGTCTAAAAAATTGTATACAATTAACCTTACAAATATTTTATTTTTTTGTAACCAATGGCAACCCTCTAGACAAACGAAAAAATATTAGTTTTTCACGCGAGCCAACAAATCCCCGCTTGAGCTCCTATTTAAAATACAAATTTTAGAAAATTAGCTCGTAGGTGCATATCCCCGGGTATGAGATTACCTACCTGTATGTACCTAATTTCAAAACCACGCACCGGTGTGATAGACACGGCTGTGCAAACCTTACACACACATGCACACACACAACCATCGCTTTTATTAATACATAGATAGGTAGCTATGTCGTACGAGTATTGTTAACATTTGGACGATGTCGAAGCACTATAATACCAGATAACAATATATGTCATATCATATTTACTCATCGATCACAGGATAAACTTTTTCACTAAACTATCAACCAAACACCGTGGAAACCATTGATCATTTTTTTTTTTATTACAAATTTATTATTATTTTGATCGTGGTACAAATTTGAGTAAGTATAAGGGAGCATGAATCGATCACATAATTAAAAGTTAAAGTTAAAATATTAGTATTTAAATACATGACAAGAATGGTTCCTATATGGATTAATAAAACTTTAACTGATTAGTACATTTTGGAAATACATTTATATAATAACTATTAAGATACTTAACTCTAAAATATAAAACAATAAGAAGGGTAGGGGTATTATAAAATATTGTACCCCATCGTCGTACTGTCCAATGTTCTTAGTCTAAAGTTTTCTTTTATGGAAAAAAAATAATACAATATATTTTATTAAACCATGCTATATAATAAATGAATAATTATAATTTATACATTTTATATTTAATACCAAGACTCAACTTAAGAACATTATTGTATTTAAACCAATTTTCTGACTGTTATTTTTCAAAAAACAAAAAAAATCAAAATATTTATTTTTAATTCTATATCAATAGACGAAAACTGCGTGTACAAGGCGGTAGATAATTCAAAAACGAACATTAGAGAATACTCAATGGTTCGTATCGACAACATTGTCCAATAAATGTTATTTGTTAGCATCGTCCATAATGTATAAATACCATATAGTATTGTAATATAACTCGAATTGTATACATAGTTTGTACCAAATACCAATGCGAAATAATATACTAACGAAAAATGTGCGTTGTTTCCCGCGCTATAGTTATACATTACACATTATCTGTAATAGTGTAATTAATGTACGCGAACGGTGTGCAATAGGGTCAATATTGAGCTACGTCCAGTTTTCCTCACTTTAATTTGTGCGGGGAGCTAATAGAAAGGAAACCAATATTGTTACACAGTTACACCTCCACTGTTTATATATAATATAAATATACCTACTAAATATAAATTCAGAAAGCACTGTAAGAATGCCCTGATGGCCACGGAGAAGCGATCGAACCCTTATAAAATGTTTATATACATTTTGTTTAGTCGAAGCGAAATGCTAGGTAGTCTGTTTAATTTTTAACATTAATTAGTAAAATCATCTTTATTTACGCATTATATA